GTCAGACAATATGTTCTATATGTTCTAACAGAACTCCAAAAGCTACTCAATCAGAATGATAAGTCCCTCACAAATTTTCCCAAAATGCCAATGCCAGAAATAATCACCATCAACTCTGTCAAATACTCAACGATAACAGAAAAAAGAGTTACGACAGACAACCTCCACTACAACAGGCTAGGTAATTTAAAATCCTAAAAGTAAGTAAGCACATTTGAACTCTTAAAAACTAATCAAAACAAAAACAAACATGCAGGACAAGAACCCAACCAAAAAGATGGAAACCAGGAACAAGCTTAGTAATGGAATGCTGAGGAATGGAGTCTTGAGGAAAAGAAAGGACCAATATTTTTCCTTCGGTTTTAACTAAACCAGTCCACCACTTCAAGATTTTAGAAATATAACAATATAAGGTTTACAATCTTTTAATCTCTCTACCATATGATTTTATATACATCAAACCTAAGACAAAACATCGATTTAGCAAAAAATAAAAACATAGACGAAGTTTTTTTTTTGTTTTGGTATGAATAAAAACATACCAAAAAAACATAGACGAAGTTAAGATAACTCAATCGTGCATGTTATTATTCCCCACACAATCACACATTAGTAACAATTTACCAATATCTTTTCTAGAAATTATACCTTCGTTGTCAGAGTAAGAAGAAGAAATTAAGAATTGTAATCACACAATTACAAAAATATCAATGAATTGAAATCATGTATAGCCCGTATTTATCAAAAATTGCGAACAATTTTCAGAGAATGGAAAATTAGATTCGCTACATACCTTCGCTGCTCAGACGAAGAAATACTTCAAGCCGATACATCTGTTGCATCCTCCTCTGCCTTCTCTTGTGTTTTATCTTTTTCCGACATCGAATTTGTATCCCACCTTCTCGCTCTCGATCCACCTCTTGGTTTGTGTGGGAGCCAAGACTAGCACAATTAGATTTGTAAGGGTTTCGAGAGGAAGCAGAGATTTCTAAGTTAAGCTACGAGAGAAAACGATGAGCCAAGAAAAGTGTTTATTGCTGTGTATGCTTTTGTGAACAAAATTGCGGATACCTTTACAAGGGTTTATACATCGACATATATAGTGTTCCTAACTCAGCTAGGTTTTCCATAAAGGATTATGTTAAGTTTCCTAAGTTTTCGCGGATTTCCTTTTCGTCCATGTCGGTTGCGCCGAAGTGGACTTTGCAACTGGACTGGGCTTCAACGTTGAGACTCCAAACTCCCGCGGTCGTTACGACGTCGCTTCGTAGCTGCTATGCTTATCTTCTGGAGATATCTGGGCTTGTCCTCTCAACTGACTTCGAGTTGAAGCCCAATGCAGGAAGTCTTCGGGTCTTTCTTGCGGAGCGAAAGTATGATCTTTCCCGCGAGACGAAGACATGATCTTTCCTGCGAGGCGAAAGTAGGGGTCTTTGGTGGCATCTCTGCCAGAGTCTTCGGTGGCCCCTGTGTTGATGCTTTCTTCTGCATGAAAGCAAGACTTAGAAGACTTCGCCTCACAGGCGGAGAAGACTTCGCCTCGCAGGCGGAGAAGACTTCGCCTTGCAAGCAGAGAAGAGTTAGGATCGGAGAAGACTTGTCTCTTGGCTAGTAATGACTTAGGGACCATATAATCTCTAGATGTCAACGTATTTCAGCGTACGTTTGTCTTGTTAATCAAACTTTGAACAGTGATGTTGAGCGGGTGAATTTCTGACCCCAACAGTTATCCCCCCAGCTCGGTAGTATTAGTGATAACAGTATCGAGTTAAAGACTATTGGATGTCAATGTTGCCGTTCAAAGTTATGACGTTACTGTTAGCGTGATGCTGCTGGCTCGGGCCGTCAGTGCTGTAGCGGAGGACGATTTTCTGCGTTCGGGGATTTTAAGACTCCACCTCTTTATGAAGATTGTAAGACTTCATGCTTTTGTGAAGGTTTTAAGACTTCGTAGGTAGGTCGCTCTTCGTATACGCGGCCATCTACAATTTGTAATTGCTATAAGAGGTTGGTCAAGTTCTTGACCTGATCAGGGCTGGTTCTTGTTCTCTTTTGCTGCCCCTGTGGTGCAGAGTCGTCGTCCCTCTTGTCTTCGAGGGTACGC